ATCTGACAGCACTGCGGTGTCGTCCCCTCAGGGCTGAGGTGAGGGTATGTGCCTGGCTGGTTGGCAGATCTGGCTTCATGGCTGGGTGGGCCACTAATATTGGGGGTGGCTTTAGTGGGGCTTTGAGGTGGGATCCCCCATGGGCTGAGTCAAGGACGGTGGTCAAGCGGTATGTCCGTCTCTGGGTTTTGTTGCCATGTGGGCCATCAGAGGTGAGGGTGTCCTCTGGAATGCATGTGGGTTTCTCCTGGTCTGAGGGTTCTGGGTCGCTCCGAACGGCATGGTTTTCTCCTGGATGGTAGGCGGAGTCCTTGGTTGAGGTTCAGGGGGTCCCAATCTGGAGGGATTGTTGGCCATGTCTCTGGGCACGGAAGCCTGGAAACACAACCCAGAGTTTGGGTTAGGGCTTAGGGGGATCCAGGCCCTACCTCCTGGTGCTGAGGCTGGATCCCCAGTTGCTGAATCGAACCTGGGGGTCAGGAAGCACATCAGGGTGTGAGTTTGTGACTGTGGGGACTGTCCAATTTGGGGGTGTCCCCTGGGATGCATGTGGGTTTTTTCCATTCTGAGGGCTCTGCGCAGCTTCAAAAGGTACAGTTTCCTCCTGGGTGGCAGGTGGGTTCCTGGGGTGTGGCCCAGAGGTCCCCGATCTGGAGGGACCGTGCCAGTGTGGCTTCAGACCTGTGGAGGGTGAGGGAGCTGCCTTAGGAGTCTGTGGAAAGCCCCGCAGTGCCAGTTCACGCCACTGGAGGGAGCGGTGAGCCGTGGCGCCAGAGACCCTGGAAGACGTGGCAATGCTGCTCGTCACCACTGGAGGCAGTGGCGAGCTGCCCTGGGAAACACCCTGGAAGAGGAGTCCGTGCAGCCTGCTGGCTCTGGGGGCCGTGGGGAGGTGTTGGGTGAGAGACCCTGGATCGTGAGGCACTGCAGCTTGTTTCTCCAGGACGGAGTGCTGAGCTGTATAGTCTCTGATTCCCCAGGTTCAAGAGTGGTCCTAAGAGACCCTGGAGCCGAGCCCCCACACAGCACTGTGCCCTGTTTCCCCAGGTTTGCTGGCCATCTGCTGTCAGGGTGGTTCCGGAGGGTCCGCCCAGTTGGGCTCTGGAGCCGGGGGGAACCAAACCCGACTCACGGTGCACTTGGAACCGAGGAGTCGAGTGTTTGGAAGAGCATGTTTCTTTCTCCACAAAGGACAAGGGCATTGGTCGGCTTTAGAAGGAAGTCAATGACCACTTAAGAAACAAGCACGTGTCTCTCCTTCTCCCAGGAATCGGAGCAGGTGTGCAGGCGTTAGGTGGGAGGCGCCTGCTTCTCCGCACCTGAAGACCCTTCTTCACTCTGGCTCCACGAGACCTGAACTTTGGAAATCAGCGTCTGAGTCCGTCAGGCAGCTTGTCCCAGGAAGTCAGTGTTCAGAGAAAAGAGCAGGCCCATGGGGCACATCCATGCCAGGATGGGAGGTAAAACTTCTCTTTCACCCCAAACCCCCTGGGCTTACGTCTTGTCTCCAGTGGAGCTCACAATTGGCACACGGAACCAGCTCGAAGATACCTAGTGTGGGTGCCAGAGTTCCT